ACCTATTGCACCTTTAAGTTCTGTATCAGTTACAAAATATTATTACTTACCTATAAGGCCCTTAATGGGTTAGCTCCTGTGTACCTAACTAGTCTTCTACCACACTAGAATCCATCACGCTCCCTAAGGTCGCAAAACTAATACCTAGGATAGCAAAGTCCACTAAAGGAGGTAGAGCTTTTTCGCATTTGGCTCCCAAACTCTGGAATAGCCTTCCTGATAACGTTCGGGGTTCAGACACACTCTCTCTGTTTAAATCTAGATTGAAGAGACATCGCTTTGGCCAAGTATTCAAATAATGTATCTCATAATCTTGTACTGCAGTTATGTCTGATCAAATGCACATTATTATTCTTTAGCTTGGGTTAAAAAAAACAATGTTGCTTGGTTGAAACAGCAGCTATGCTAATTATGTCTCTATTTGTTTATCTGTTTTTGCCACGGGATTGACATCTTGGATTTACACAAACTTCAGTCTGGATCCAGAACACCTGAGAAGAGATGATGCCAGCCCCTCAAAGGACCTCAGATGATGCCAACCATGAAACAACATACAGAACTACCAAATGTTGCTATAAGTTTGATTGCATCAAATAATAATTGCTGTTAATAGTGTTCATCATCTGTTTGATTACGTCTTTAATTTATTTTTCCGTACATTTCTGCCATATGTACATTAACTGACAGTCACCACTGATAAGCTACTACTAAATATTGTAGAAACTTAATTTGCTGTAAAGTGGCTTTGCAACGATTTGTATCGTGAAAAGCGCTATACAAATAAATATATATATATTTATAATTAAATAATTGTCTTTTACTGTAGCAAAAAACATGTTTAAAAAATATTATCTGAATTTTGTTTCTACCCACTAGCATAAAAGCAAAAAATATACAATTCTGATTCATCTGTATAAAGCACTTATATAAGATATCCATAGGTTCCATGTGACGTCACTGTGTTTTATCGCCGCCATTTTTGTGTCCGGTCACAGCTGCGCTACCTATTTTTAAGTCTATGGTTGTCAGAGAAGGATTAAAGAAGCACTCACAGAAGGATCACAAAAATTACAACATGTCCGGTATATGTTGTGTTGTCGGGTGTAACAACAGTCGTCAGAGAAACCCCGAACTACAATTTTACTCAATCCCAAATCTATCATTGACTCAAATGTGTGTGTTTTGAGCTGATGTCGGTTTTAAGTTTACAACAAATCAGGACTTTACATTATTACATTATAACTGTTACACTTGCCTTACCTATGTTAGGATCCTAAAATCCTGCAATCAAGTCCAAGGCTTACTGAGGTAAACGGTAGTAAAAGCCAAATTACTTGTGTAATCATTGTCAGGTGTGGCATGGGATAATATTAATGTTGAAGTTCTCAGGAAATATATTGACACTATGCCAGAGAGATAATTGCTGCAAAAGGTGGACATACCAAATATTAAAGTCAAAAGTGGATAAGCACAGTATGACTCACTTCGTCTGATATTTATTGTGCTCAGAGCAACCATCTGCATATTTTATGAACTTTATGAAATGAAATAATGTTTTGGAGGCAAAAAGGTCAATATTTTCATCTGTCAGTGGCCACCACTGTATATGCAGTATGGATTAATAAGAACGAAACATGTCAGAGAAAAATATGAAAGTTAAATTACCTTGCTCAGGCAGGTCAACATCTTGTTAGTAGGCTTGTGCGCACATTTAATTTTAATAATTTAATTATATTTTTGTATCTGTCTGCTTAGGAAGAAAAAATGACAACCCCCTGAGCCCTGATTATGTACCCAGCATTTTTGCGCACATTTCAGCTGAACAGCGACAGAAAAGCATTTATGCCAACCTTAGTTTTGAGCATACCCAGCAGATGAAGCGGAAAAGGACTGAGGCATTGCCTGACACTGACCGTGAGACTGTAGTGCCTTCCAGCATCATCAATGCCACTGAGGATGACACCATGGAAGTACAGGCAGAATGCATGCATGATGAGCACAATTACTCCCAGGCCATTCATAGCCCACACATTGTGGGACCATGCTCGAATGCAGCTTGCCAAGCTACAGTCGAGGCACTGAAAAACGAGTGTACACGACTTAGAGCTGAGGTTCATCGTCTAAAGGGCAAAGTTGATGAGCTGTCTTTAAATGAAGAGGAAACGATGACATGGTACAGGAACTCACAGGCCTTCCAAGCTATGCAAAAGTAATGGTTGTCTTTACTTTCCTGTTGGGATTTCTGAAAGGTAGTTCAAGACTGAGTCCCTTTAATAGCCTTGTGTTAACACTGATGAAAATGAGGCTTAATTTACCTTTATATTTCTTTGTCTATTTTTTTCACATGTCTAAGACAAGTGTTTTCAGAATATTTAATAGTACATTAGATGTCATGTATGTTAGACTGTCATCACTTATATATTGGCCATCAAAACAACAAATTCAGGTCAGTCTGCCCATGTGTTTCAGGGATAACTTTAACAATCGCACTTCTATCATTGACTGTTTTGAAATATTTATAGAGAAGCCTAAGAGCTTGAGTGCTCGTGCACAGACATACTCTCAGTACAAGCATCACAACACTGTGAAATATTTGATTTCAATAACACCACAAGGTGTTATATCCTTTGTGTCAAAAGGCTGGGGTGGACGAACAAGCGACAAGCACATAACAGAAAACTGTGGATATCTTGAGAAATTATCACCGGGAGATGTCATTCTTGCAGATAGGAGTGCTCGTGCACAGACATACTCTCAGTACAAGCATCACAACACTGTACTACAATGCAGAACCAATTATTATACAGTTTTCCTGTGCACTGCACAGTGTGCAATCTATGGTCTTTGAATATGTATGATTGTGTTGTCAGATGAATGTGTAAACAAATACATGACCATAAAGATCAAAGAAAAAACATTTTCGTTTTTGAATTTTATTAATATCAATAATGTACTACTGAGCAAAGATCAAGCTACATTTGTACTACTTGGAGATTATTTTTAACATTTATGTATATGAGACATTTGAAATCTCTCAGAAAAATGGTTCACAAAGCATCTTGCAAACAAAAGTTGATGACCTACAGGAGCTTCTTGCACTCTAAACATGTCCAAGTCTTTGGTACTCTGCTCAGCTTCAGACAAGACTTGTGGAAGTGTTTTCGTCTGCATTGCTCAGATGTGCAAGAGAGGATGTTGTCTGCATTATCAACAGGCTTACCACAGTAACATCCCACAGGTGTCTTCTCGGAGGTTGCAGTGGCGGAGAGGCGTGGTACAGTAAAGCATTTACCCAACAGCTCTGGTAGTGTCCCTGTTCTAATGAAGTTCACCACCTTCAAATATGCCTCATCAAAAAAAAACATCATCAAATGGGATGCGCTGTATAAAAATTTCTTGAGGTGTCCACACCACAAAATCACAGTATGCTAACTCTGCTACACGCATTTGGGCCTGCACTTGATACATGTAACTGTGATCTAGCTTTAGGCTCATTACACCTTCCTCAGTGACAGTCAAGCAGAACTGTGAGTCTTTGACAAATTCATTTAGAGTGCGGTCTTTTGTGATGAAAGGACACTTGATCTCTAACACTCCAGGCACATGGCAAGCAGGGGTCACCACACCATCAGGTGATGCACCGATCCATGGCAGCTCCGGGTTAATGATAAGCCCTGATACTGCAACGTTGAGGTCTGCATCGCCATCAGGTACGACTCTGGCAGTGTCCTCATTTACGAGACCCCATCTGATGAAAACAACAAAAAGTGAGCCATATAATTTTGATATTTTAGAGTACAATTCCTAGCCTAGCATTAAATTATCATTCCTGCACTTATATAAGGGCTGAACCGGTGTTTTTTTGTTTTTTTTGACTAAGTGTGATTTTGACTAATATTGCAACTCTGCTATGATCTGCGATACTGTAAGGAATTATCATATTTGCATAATTCTCATTTGAATTAAAAACAGAAATGGTCATTTTTGCAAGGATATGTACCAAACAAAGATGTTTTCTTAATTTCTGTAGAACATGATGTGTAGGCACAGACCCTCTGCAGCAAAACAATATATACCTTGATGCTTCAGTTGAAAACTGACAGGAGCGAGGATAACAAACTCTCTTAATCAAAGATGAAGATTTTTCTGTCCTGGTTGCCTCATGGAACACCGATGCAGTAACTCTTCCTGCTCTCTGATCAAACCACACTCTCGACTTTCTCTGTTCCCTGGTCTTTTCCTCAACTAACAAACACTCAAAAAAGAATTGAACTATCAAAAGAGCTGTAATTATCACAAAGGAATGAAGCTATTCTTAATGGATTAGGTGATGTTTATATATTGGGAATCTGACATTCTTATAATAATATAATTATTATTATATAACAGCTCTATTTGTATAGAATTTTTTAAAAAAGGCAACAAAGTGCTTTACTACAATCAATGTGAAGCATTTTATTTACACTTGCTGATTGTTTTAACAACACACTTGTTTTAATGACAGCCATTTTCATTTCTTACCTGCTCCGGTGTGAGATGCAGCTCATCAAAGGTCTTCGCACCCTCCTCCAGCAGTGCGGGCAAATCCATTTCAAGTCTGGTGCTTGTATAGAGAGTGGTCAGAGGTGATGGCAGATCCAATAGTACAGTCTTGGGCATGTATCTGAGGGAGTGGCCTTCGATGACAGAGAGGATTGCACTTTTCTTGGGATTTGCCTCTTGACCTTCACTTTGCTGGAGCTGTGCACAGAATAACTTGAACTCATCAGCAGATGGTCTGATGTGTGACAAATTGTCCTGAATTGCAACTTTCTCCTCGTTAGCGAAGATGTTAGACAACTCATCGTACTTCACTTTTTTCGTGCTCGGCTTTGTCCATGTGCATGGCTTCTCAGTGCATGCCTGTCCTTCTCTCTTGTCAACCAAAACTGTGTACATCTGTGCCGCAGCATGGGAACAAACCTCTCCCAACCCTGACATGCATGTACAATGTGCCATCACCACTGTCCCTTCCTCCTGCACCACTATCCATGGAAATGTTGCTTTTGTGTTCAGAGCCTGGGAATGACTGACCTGTTAAGTGAAAAATGTAGCATCTTTAATTACTGTGCCTTATAAAAGCTAATCTCTTCTGAGCTTGTTCAAATATCTAACGATATGACAATTAAACTTGTGTGGTAGTCTATTGTTTTGTAGATTAGAAAAGGCATGTGGCCATGATTTGCATTTTGTTTAGCCGTATTTTCATGAATGCGCTTAAAAGATGCAAATGAGTTGGATGGAAAACCTATCTACGTAAAAGGTCGTAACTAGTTCTGAAACAAAACAAGAACATCTATGGCTAACATTAACTGTAATGTTAGTTATCTGCGAGCTAGCGTGCCAATGTTAGCTATCCAGCTGTTAGCCCTTTAGCTGACTACTCGCTAACTAGCATGACTACTCTAGACTTTAATTTGATAATTATTGACTCACTTACATGTATGTATAAGATATATATAAATGTCCGGAAAAGTAAGTTGGGGCAGACGCGTTGCTGTTGCAAATCATCATCAGAGTCGGGATCCATTTGCAGCGTTTTGTAACGAATCAGCTCATGACAGGAAATATGAATAATTAACCATAACTAGTTATAATTAACTATTCATATTTTAGATCCGCTGTAGATATTTAGCTGATATCTTGTCAATTCTAAGAACGTTAATTTCCTGGTTAAGGGACAAGGTCAATCACCAGCAGATACAATAACGAGGGCTAGGCTGAGACAGAACGTGGGACGGGCAGGAGGTCGAGGCAGGCGGCAGACAGACACAGTAGAAGAATAATCCAAGTCGGGGCAGGCAGAGACAGATCAGAATACCATAAACAGTCCAAGGTCAAACGAACAGGCAAGATACAGGGTAAACGCTCAGAAGTGACAGCCGGGGCAAATCAAGACTTCGCAGTGAGTAGCTGTGAGTGTTTGCCTTATATGTGTGTGTGCATGATTCATTGCAGGTGTGTGCGTGCAATCAGTCCCAGGTATGAGGCATGATGGGAACTGGAGTCCGAATGGATAAAGTTAATATTCAGGCGAGAGTTCCCTCTGGTGGTGAGGAGGAGGTGGTACGGAAGCCTCCTCTGTAACAGAGCCCCCCCCTGCGAGCGGCTCCTGACGCGAGAAGGCAAGCGACGCCGGGGTCTACCACGAGGTCGAGGGGCCGGTTTCTCCGGATGCATCCTGTGAAACTCTTCTGTGAGTGTGGGGTCGAGGATATCTCCGGCCTTGACCCAGGATCGCTCCTCTGGTCCGTACCCCTCCCAATCGACCAGATACTGGAGAGTGGCACCCCGGCGCCTGGAGTCAAGCAGCTCGTGCACCCGATACGCCTCCTCGCCGTCAACCAGAATAGGTGGGGGGGTCTGCAGCCTGGCTCCCTCCTCCGGCTCTCCTCCCGGACCACCAGCAGGTTTCAGAAGTGATACATGGAAAGTGGGAGATATACGATAGTTAGTGGGTAGCTCTAAACGGAACGATACTGGAGTTATTTGTCTTACAATTTTGAATGGACCAACATACCTGGGACTGAGCTTCTTACAGGGGAGCCTGAGGCGCAGATCCTTAGTGGACAGCCAAACCCATTGGCCTGGGTTGTATTCGGGACTGGGACGTCGGTGACGGTTGGCCTGTTGTCTTGTTCTCCTAACGGCATGTAGCAAATGAGTATGGGCTCGGTCCCAGACCTCCTCACTGCGTTGTAGCCAGTCGGTGACTGAAGGGAGGTCGGTGGGCTCGCCAGCCCAGGGGAACAAGGGCGGTTGGATTCTGGAGATTCAAGTTGTTTGCCTCGGTCATGATATCCCACTGTACGAGTGCAATGAGGAGGTTCTCAGGAATAATACTTTCATTGACGTCTGAGCCGCATGTCTCCTCCGCTTGACGCGAGAGGGCGTCGGCTTTGGTATTCTTAGTGCCGGGTCTGTATGATACAGTGAACTGAAATCTTGTAAAGAATAACGCCCATCTTGCCTGTCGGGGGTTCAATCGTTTGGCCAAGCGTAGGTATTCAAGGTTTTTGTGATCGGTGAGGACTAGAAATTGATGTGATGCCCCCTCCAGCCAGTGGCGCCATTCCTCTAGTGTTAATTTCATGGCCAGAAGTTCACGGTTGCCCACGTCGTAATTCCGTTCGGCAGTGGTTAGCTTGCGTGAGAAGAAGGCGCATGGGTACATCTCTGCTGGTGATGCGTGACGTTGGGAAAGTATCGCACCGACCCCCGTGTTAGAGGTGTCGACCTCGACAACGAATGGGCGTTCTGGATCAGGATGTCGGAGGATAGGTGCTGAAGTAAACCGAGTCCTTAGTTCATTGAAGGCCTGTTGTGCTTCTGAAGACCAGGTCAGTTTAGTGGGGTGACGTTTATCTCGCTTAGTCATGGCGGTCAACGGCGCGGCGATCGAACTGAAGTTCCTGATAAATCGCCTGTAGAAGTTTGCGAACCCCAGGAAGCGTTGTAAATCCTTGACTGTCTGGGGAAGCGGCCATTCCAGAACTGCCCTGACCTTCCTCTCATCCATCGCTACCCCCTCCGGGCTGATCACATACCCCAGAAAGGTTGTGCTTCTCTGATGGAATTCGCATTTCTCCGCTTTAGCGTAGAGTTGATACTGAACGAGGCGCTTTAGCAGATAGGTGCTGAAGTAAACCGAGTCCTTAGTTCATTGAAGGCCTGTTGTGCTTCTGAAGACCAGGTCAGTTTAGTGGGGTGACGTTTATCTCGCTTAGTCATGGCGGTCAACGGCGCGGCGATCGAACTGAAGTTCCTGATAAATCGCCTGTAGAAGTTTGCGAACCCCAGGAAGCGTTGTAAATCCTTGACTGTCTGGGGAAGCGGCCATTCCAGAACTGCCCTGACCTTCCTCTCATCCATCGCTACCCCCTCCGGGCTGATCACATACCCCAGAAAGGTTGTGCTTCTCTGATGGAATTCGCATTTCTCCGCTTTAGCGTAGAGTTGATACTGAACGAGGCGCTTTAGCACCGATCTGACTGGACGAATGTGTTGTTCCAGGAAATTTGAATAGATCAGGATGTCGTCGATGTACACGATCACCCATCTGTTGAGCATGTCCCGAAAAACATCATTCATGAAGGATTGGAAGATCGAGGGACTGTTTGCCAGGCCGAAGGGCATAACCCGGTATTTGTAGTGCCCACTAGTGGTGGAGAATGCCGTCTTCCATTCGTCCCCCTTTCGAATGCGGATTAAGTTGTAGGCATTGCGTAGATCTAACTTGGCGTAGTATTTGGCCTGGCGGAGCTGTTCTAGCGCTGCTGGAACCAGTGGTAGAGGATAACGAAACTTCACAGTAATGTCATTAAGGCCACGGTAATCAATGCAGGGCCGTAACCCTCCGTCTTGTTTCTTTACAAAGAAGAACCCTGCCGAGGCAGGAGAAGTCGAGGGTCGAATAAATCCTTTAGCCAGTTCCTCCTCGATATAGGCTTTCATAGCTTCGGATTCAGGTTGTGATAGTGGGAAGATCCTCCCCTTTGGAGGGGTGGCGCCAGGTATAAGATCTATGGTGCAATCAACTGATCGGTGAGTGGGAAGTTGTAAAGCCCTTCTCTTACTGAAGGCTTCGGCTAGATCGGCATATTCGGAGGGCAGGTTTAATTCGTCGGTGGGTTGAACAGCTGGAACCGAATCCTGGAGGGGTGACCGTGTGATCCTGGATAAACAGCGGTATTGACAGGTAGCATCCCATTGAACGATTTGTCCCTCTCTCCAGGAAATGCATGGGTTGTGAGTGCGCAGCCAGGGTAGTCCCAGAATGATCGCGTGATTAGAAGACTGGATGACGTAGAATTTGATATATTCAGAATGGAGGGTTCCCACTTGCAGTTTGACTTCTTCGGTGATACGTAACACTTTCCCCTCTCCGATGGGTCGGCCGTCTAGCGCCTCCACTGCCAAAGGGAAATTACAAGGGGTAAGTGTGAGATTATGTTGCAGGGCGAATTCATGTGAAACAAAGTTTCCAGCTGACCCGGAATCTAACAGGGCGGTAGAGGTAATCGTTTTATCACTGACAGTTATTTCAACCGGCAATAGTATGCTTGAAGGGCAAGTAATGATACGATTGTTGACACTCACCGGTCGGGGTTTGTGTGATGGACGAACCGGGCAGGAGGATATCATGTGCCCAGCCTGAACGCAGTATAGGCACAGTTGGTTCTGCATTCGGCGCTCGCGGTCCTCGGGCGTGAGGTGAGTGAAGCCCAGCTGCATGGGCTCTGGTGTGGCATGGGTCTCTGGCATGAATCGAGGCATGGACCGGGTAGGACGTCGTGAGCGGATCAAATTGTCAATTTGAATGGCGAGTTCAATGAATTCACTCAAACTTCTCCCCTCATCTCGGCAAGCCAACTCCGACTGGAGCTCTGAATTTAGTCCCCTCCGGAACAGGAGTTTTAATGTGTCCTCGATCCAACCTGTCTTGGCGGCAAGGGTGTGAAAGGACAGAGCATACTCGGCTGCTGGTCTCCTTCCCTGCGAAAGTGTCAACAGTTGGTCTCCTGCACTTTTCCCCTCCGCGGGATGTTCAAAGACTTCGCGGAAGTGTTGGAGAAATGTGGTGAAGGTGGGAAATGAAGAGCCATCCACTCCCCACACAGCGGTAGCCCAATCCAGCGCCCTCCCGGTGAGCAAAGAACACACAAAGGCAAGAGTCTGTGGGGTACAGCGCGGGCTGTTGATTAACGAAGAGCGAACACTGAAGTAAGAACCCTTTGCATCTGGCGGGGTCTCCGTCAAATTTCTCTGGGAAAGCTAGTCGTGGGCTCACTGGGGATGTGGGTAATGTTAGGGGTGGCGTGGAGTGATCAGGCACCAGGGCTGGGTCGGCTGCAGCCGCGGTTGGCTTTATTTGTAGGCCTTGCAGTGCCTTCACTAGCTCCTCAGTGAGTGAGGTAAGCCGGTTTAGTTGGTGGTGATGCATGGCGAGCTGTGTGGCCTGCGCAGATAGCTCAGTGGATAGTTGCCTGAGTGCTGCTTGATCGCTGTGTGGCGAAGTCTTCTGTTGCGAATCATCATCAGAGTCGGGATCCATTTGCAGCGTTTTTATTGCATAAACAGACAAGACAGGATCAATCACCTGCAGATACAATAGCGAGGGCTAGGCTGAGACAGAATGTGGGAAGGGCAGGAGGTCGAGGCAGGCGGCAGACAGACAAAGTAGAAGAATAATCCAAGTCGGGGCAGGCAGAGACAGATCAGAATACCATAAACAGTCCAAGGTCAAACGAACAGGCAAGATACAGG